AAAAGAAAAAAAAACCCAAACTTTGGAACAACTCGACTATCCGCTAATCAAATTTGAGAAGAATAGGCCCGACCTAACATGGTATTTGTGGTGTGACTGGATATGAGTTATGACTGATTTTAATCGATTATGACCAATTGGATTATTCATATCCAATCATCTAGTTGAAAATCCAACTCAACCCAACACTCATACTTTTTATAAATATAATTAAATAATAATAATAAATCATTTTCACACATTGCATCTTCTTTAATTTATTATTCATCCACTCACATAATTTTAAATAGTTATCACTTCCAATAATCTCTGTTATATATAATTTTATATCACATCAACTCCAATCATTACATTTTAAATGTTATTAAATTTAAAATTTTAAATCATCCACTCAATCTAATTTTTTCAAAATATATCACTCTAACCAAACAAAGCCGGTCAAAATCGGTTGAATTTATATCCGATCAGCGACCTTGGAGTCCCTAAACAATCCCTATTGACCGGCATCTTCTCCACCCCGCGAGCTTCTCAATCAAAGCTTGTGACAAAAGGAGGAAGACCGATAGGAAAATTTATCCATCTTAAGGACGAACACAAGGCGGCGAGAGCGGTAACCAGAGAAGTGGGGAAAACAATTTCAAGTTCAATCCAAGTATCCAACATGGCATTATGTGGTCTACATTCTTAGGCAAGAATAATCAAACCTAGCTACGCCGCGTGCAGTTGGGTCTATGCTGAGTTTTGAGAAAGTCACAAAATCATTCGATTACGATTTATTTATCTGAAAAATTGTACTGAAATCGCTATGTTCAAGAGATTCAATTTCCAATATTCATCATTTTCAAAGTCCATTACGAGCTCCTGGTATGCGCGCTTATAAGATCTTATTGGAAGAAAATTATTCAATACTGTAACCATATTATGACTCATTTGAAACTCTTGGCTTAATTAAAACTAAAATAAAATTAAACAAATAATAATAATAATAATAACGATAATAATGCTAATAATAACTGATAAATTAATTAACCTTCAACGCATACATCCGCAGATTTTTTTTTTTATTCGGTGACTTCATACGATTATATTAATATATGTACTCTACTACATAAAATACACGGTGGTTATACCTGCTCTGATACGCCCATCTCATAATTAATCTTTTGTTAATACCTTGTTAGAGATTGGGTAAATTAACTTTCTCTACGATTCTTAATAAATTAATACAAATGTGAATCGAGCTGATGCTTTGATGTCATTATAAGTACCAAACGAAATCTATTATTGCGGTTTATGGTGATTAATTAACAACTTTTTTGAAACCTACTTTCTTGATTGTGCATCAAAGTGAAAGGGATAGTCCAGGTTTAATTATTATAATTTCCCTTTTTGATTAATTTGGCTCATATTAATGAGTGCTTGTTTTAACACGCTTGTCGCAGCTAAACGTGATATTAAATATTAATTACTCTCTAATAATATGTTGACTCGAGTTCTTAAATTTTCAATGAGATACCTATTTGAAGTACTTTAATGAGTTTTGAGCTATGAGTGTCACTCTAAAAAGTTTGCATTAAGGTTACAAAAAAAAAAAAAGTTTGCATTAATTTTTTCGACTTAGAGAGAAATTTCTAAGCTACAATCACACCTTACGGATTCTCACACGAACAAAAACATGATCGACTTCTCATTTCAAATTAATTTAGTCTATGCAAGATAGAACATTTCCTTCTATATTTCAATAACAAAATTTGTTTTCTCAAATTTTCTTATACCATGGAAAACTAAATTGAAGGTAACTTTTGCATCATATAACATGGATTCATTCCTTCATTATTTTCCTATTTCACTGTGGTAAATTAATTTAACAAATATGTTCAATGACTAATTAGGATTCTTAGCTAGGCATTTGATTTGGTCCGTAATCCATCAGAATAATGTCACGAACTCGGGTTAAGTAAATATATATAGCAAATACATGAAAATCAGTCTAATCCATCACCATTTACCATTAATATTTGTTCCTAATGCACCAAGATCATAGGCACATTTATTTATTTAACATTACAAGTGGAGATTGCATAGGCTGGAGAGAGTGAACCCATAATAAAAAGTTAGTAAACTAACATGATATAGTCAGACATATATAATTATATAATGTCTTGACACCCGGAGTTTTAGGTTGTGTTTGGTAAAACTAACTGATAAGCTAGCTTATAGCTTATTAGTAATTTTCGAGCTTATAGCTTATGGCTTATAGCTGAAAAACTAGCTTATATGATAAAAGTGTTTGGTAAAATTAGCTGATAAGCTAACTGAAATAAAAAATTTGAACGAGCTTATTTAAAAAATTACTAATAGAAGTTTATCAAATAAGCTCGAGCTTTTTAAATAAGTCCGTCCTACCAAACAGGACTTATTTAAATACAGGAAACTTATAAGCTAATCAAATAAACTATAAGTTAGCTTATTAGTTTACCAAACATTGCCTTAATACCCAAGTCCAAAGAATTATAAATGTTGAATTAAGTAAATAAGTTACAATAATCAGCCTAAAAAAAGTCAGTAAGTTCAAACCCACCCTCCCATAAAACCCAAATAATCCACCCTTAAGCTATAATACTTTCACTTGTTGACCATTCTCAAATAAATCCACTCTTCATCATTGAAGGGCAAATCACCCTTTTTTTCCTTCCCCTTTTTGGGGTGGGGGTAAGTGCACGGGGCATTCAATTGATGCAAACCTAAAATATTGTTTTTTATTATTAGATATCTTAATTGTACAGTATATTGAAAGATGTTGATAAAAAAATTATTTGTGAAAAGTTGAAAAAAATACGTCAAATTCTTTAATTTACCACTTATTGAATATCAATTTAAAATTCAAAAATCTATTCAATTTTTGCATCAGTTATTTTTATTTTTTTTTATTTTTTTGTTAATATGGAATCAACTACATTTCATATTCTACGTAAAACATATTTGCAAATATTCAGTTGTATATTAACGATAATTATGCTAATAAAACCGTAATAATGCCTTTTTTGATAAATGTTATATCACAATTATTTTTCAAAAATGTGTGAAATAAAAATTATTT